GAAAATGTAACTTCCCCAGGCTGGAGGTTCACCAAACACTGGCAAAACCACCCATAACGCCTGGAGGTGTGTTCCAAATCACTCACTGGACACGGACACAACCACCATCAACCACCCAAAAAAATGTAAGTTACATTTAGGCTCTTTTAGGGAAAGGGGTGGGGGGGCATAAATGTAAGTTACATTGTCTTTAAATGTAACTTCATCAACTGAGAAAATGTAATCTTACATGTTTGAGGTGGTTTCAATGGAAAGATGCAACTTACATTTTCCGAAGGCCCCCCCTACAACATGGTAGGAATTATATAATTATATATATATATATATTGTTTTTTAGTGTGATGTTTTTTTTAAAGGCTTAGCTGGCAGGAGGAAGGCAGGAAGGAAGGAAGGAAGGAAGAAAGCAGCAAGGAAGGCAGGAAGAAAGGAAGGCAGTTGCAAAACTTTGTCCAGATACCCAGCACAGAGACCATTGCAGTTATCAAAGGAAGATTCAGTGGGGAACTCCGTGACATTTGTTTTTTGGTCTTAGCCAAGTTACACTACCACAAACATCCACAAACCAACCAACTGTGCCATGGTTATGAACCAGTCAGACTGCTGTTTTTTTTTTTTTTACTAGTGTGCATTGTAAAACTATCAAACTAACACAATTAGTCAAAACTAGTTGAACATCAATTAGAATTGACTAAAAACACATTAAACATACAAAAGACTAAAGCCCCCCCAAAAAATGCAACTAAAACAATTAATTACTACTAATTGAAAATCATTTAGAATCAAGTATATAGAAACCCTTTAAAGCTACAGAAGACTGGAGCCTCTAAAAACATATTCCACTTAAACTCACAAATATACCGCAAAAAATCCGCAACTGGGTAATTTTCCACTGTTCCATGATTATTTCAAGGAGTATGCTAACGAGGGGGCTGCCCGGGTCACCACCCGTCTCCGATGAACCTTGGAGGCACTTTGGGAAGCTCGTTTGCGAGAGCAGCGGGAGGTGAGCAGCGTGGCGCCAGGGTTGCTGCCGGATTTTTTGATTTTGAAGCCATGAAGTGAAGTAGGTGGTCGACCCTTATTCCTTATGTTTGATGCTTTTGGTGCTTGCTTTGTATTATTTAAGGGCTTACGCCCGACAGCGGGCCAGGGGTGTCAAGTCAGGGGGGCTGGGGGGCGAAAGCCGCGGTCGTGGTTGTGGCTGTTGTTGTTGGTGATGGTGTTGTTGGCGGTGGGGCTGTGATTGTTGCTGTTGTCGTGCGCGTCAACAAAAATGACAAGCTGGGCCAAGATAGCGCCAAGATGGGCCAACATAGGCTCAACATGGGCCCAACATATCCCCAAGATGGGCCAAGATAACGCCAAGATGGGGCAACGCAGTGCCAGCATCGGCCAAACATCCGCCCACGATGCAGATGAAGCACACCGGTGCGGCACGCATTTCCAGCATTATTTGAGCCTATGTTGGGCTATGTTGACCCATCGTGAGCGGAAAAACAAACGTCAAACACCCAGGCTTTTCTGGGGCCCGGACCTGGGGGCGGCTACGCTTTCTGCTTCGCAGAAGGAGAGCTCCCCTGGAGGGACACGGCCCTGACGGGGCCCACGCCCCTGGCCGGATTGGGGGGGCGTCCAATGTAGCTAGGTAGATCCCACGGAAAGAGTCAAAAGACTCCGACTCCAGCTTGCTGCATTGAGCTTAGTACTATTAATTCGCAGGTGGTTTACCAAGTGGTTCACCACGCAACTACACCGAGTGGAGAGACAGAGAGCACCTCCACTCAACATCGGCTAGGCCGGGCTGAAGAGTTGCTCTGAAAAGCTACGAGGCCCACTGACCCAGGGCGTCTTGCAGGCGGGGCAGTGGAAGAAGAGAGGTTTTTTGCAGCGCATGTCTAGCTCTTCAGCAGGTACATGACATACCATGACAACCTAGGTATGACAGAACATCTGGGCATTGAAAGTATTGGTTGCCCTTTCGAAAGGGCAAAGCTGGTACATGAATACGCATGCAACAAACCTTCGTAGGGCTGCGGCGGCTGATGCTCAGACCACGTTTCCACCGGGCGACCGCAGGCGATCTTGGCTACCATTTGCGTCTTCATGGAAGATCCGGTGCGCCCGGGGGCGAGTGACCGGTCGGACTGGAAAGAGGGAGGATGGTCGTATCCCTGAAGAGGATAA